GTTATGCAACCCAGGGCAACATGGGTTTAGAACAGGTCGCTCCTGTCTGTCTCAACTATTGGATCACTACGACAAGGTCCTAAATGCACTAGAAGACAAAAAGAATGCAGACGTAATATATACAGACTTTGCAAAAGCCTTCGACAAGTGTGACCATGGCGTAATAGCGCACAAAATGCGTGCTAAAGGAATAACAGGAAAAGTCGGTCGATGGATCTATAATTTCCTCACTAACAGAACACAGAGAGTCGTCAACAGAGTAAAGTCTGAGGCAGCTACGGTGAAAAGCTCTGTTCCACAAGGCACAGTACTCGCTCCCATCTTGTTCCTCATCCTTATATCCGACATAGACAAGGATGTCAGCCACAGCACCGTGTCTTCCTTTGCAGATGACACCCGAATCTGCACGACAGTGTCTTCCATTGCAGACACTGCAAGGCTCCAGGCGGACATCAACCAAATCTTTCAGTGGGCTGCAGAAAACAATATGAAGTTCAACGACGAGAAATTTCAATTACTGAGATATGGTAAACACGAGGAAATTAAATCTTCATCAGAGTACAAAACAAATTCTGGCCACAAAATAGAGCGAAACACCAACGTCAAAGACCTGGGAGTGATCATGTCGGAGGATCTCACCTTCAAGGACCATAACATTGTATCAATCGCATCTGCTAGAAAAATGACAGGATGGATAATGAGAACCTTCAAAACTAGGGAGGCCAAGCCCATGATGACACTCTTCAGGTCACTTGTTCTATCTAGGCTGGAATATTGCTGCACACTAACAGCACCTTTCAAGGCAGGTGAAATTGCTGACCTAGAAAATGTACAGAGAACCTTCACGGCGCGCATAACGGAGATAAAACACCTCAATTATTGGGAGCGCTTGAGGTTCCTAAACCTGTATTCCCTGGAATGCAGGAGGGAGAGATACATGATTATATACACCTGGAAAATCCTAGAGGGAATAGTACCGAACTTGCACACGAAAATCACTCACTACGAAAGCAAAAGACTTGGCAGACGATGCAACTTCCCCCCAATGAAAAGCAGGGGTGTCACTAGCACGTTAAGAGACCATACAATAAGTGTCAGGGGCCCGAGACTGTTCAACTGCCTCCCAGCATACATAAGGGGGATTACCAACAGACCCCTGGCAGTCTTCAAGCTGGCACTGGACAAGCACCTAAAGTCGGTTCCTGACCAGCCGGGCTGTGGCTCGTACGTTGGTTTGCATGCAGCCAGCAGCAACAGCCTGGTTGATCAGGCTCTGATCCACCAGGAGGCCTGGTCACAGACCGGGCCGCGGGGGCGTTGACCCCCGGAACTCTCTCCAGGTAAACTCCAGGTAAACTTATTAATCTCACTCCAAAACTTTTTCTTATTCTCAGTAAAATTTGTTGATAACATCTCACCCACTCTCTCATTTGCTCTCTTTTTACATTGCTTCACCACATTCTTAACCTTTCTTTTCCTCTCCATATGCTCCTTCCTCCTTGCATTACTTCTGCTTTGTAAAAACCTCTCATATGCTAACTTTTTCTCTCACTACTCTACATCATCATTCTGCCGATCGCTCTTCTTCTCTCCCACACCCACTTTCCTGTAACCACAAACTTCTGCTGAACACTCTACCACTACATTCTTAAACCTACCCCATTGCCTATACTCTCACTAGTCCATCTATCCTCCAATAGTTGTTTATATCTTACCCTAACTGCCTCCTTCCTTTAGCTTATAAACCTTCACCTCTCTCTCTCACCTGCTGCTTCCATTTTCCTTGTATCCCATCTATAAATAACAAAAAAAGGCACAATACCGTGACTGGAACGATACACAAATAACCCGCACATAAAAGAGAGAAGCTTACGACTACGTTTTGGTCCGACTTGGACCATTTACAAAGTCGGACCGAAACGTCGTTGTAAGCTTCTCTCCTTTAAGATAAGATAAGATTTCATTCGGATTTTTAACCCCGGAGGGTTAGCCACCCAGGATAACCCAAGAAAGTCAGTGCATCATCGAGGACTGTCTAACTTATTTCCATTGGGGTCCTTAATCTTGTCGCCCAGGATGCGACCCACACCAGTCGACTAACACCCAGGTACCTATTTGCTGCTAGATGAACAGGACAACAGGTGTAAGGAAACGTGTCGAATGTTTCCACCCGCCGGGAATCGAACCCGGGCCCTCCGTGTGTGAAGCGGGAGCTTTAGCCACCAGGCCACCGGCCCACCCCTTTATGTGCGGGTTATTTGTTTATCCCATCTACCTTTTACTCTCACTGTAGCTACAACTAAAAAGTGACCTGATATATCTGTGGCTCCTAGTGAAGTCTACCCAACAGTCTTTTATCTATCAATACATAGTCCAACAAACTACTGTCATTACGCCCTACATTTATACATGTATATACTATATACAATGCACTGAATAGAGTGGAGATTCAAACTCATGGCTTGGATTTGAACCTGGCTCCTTTCAATGCATTGTTTACAATTATGTCAATACATGTACAGTGACTGACAGAATCATAATAGCAAAATTGCAAACAAATCAAGGCCAGTATGGTGCAGTGGCTAACATGCTGGTCTCTGAGCTTTAGGAATAACTTACCATGCATTCACACTTCGCCCATTCTGTGATGTCATTACAGTTTTGTGAGTTATGCTATATATGTACTATATGTACGTATTAATATTTATTTAGAAGAGTCGGCAGATTCTCATTATGTATTGTTATTATTTAATGTTTAGATTCATAAAACCTTTGATAGTGTTATTCATGGATAAATTAGCTATGTGTCTAAAAAGTTTCCCCTCAAATAAATGTATTTTTTGTTTTGTTTTACTGAAAAAACATATTGTTTTACAATATATTTAATTTATTGTATTTATCAGTGCCATACTTTTCAGCATTTATTATTCTGCAGATTTATATTTAGTTGTTCTGCAGATTTATATTTAGTTGATTCATATCCATTTTTTTTCAGCATTAATGAGCATTTATCTGCACCTGCTTCATAAAACAATGATTTCAGTTAATACTTCAGAGATTCCTACTTTTACTACTATATTACTACTATGTATTCCTTCTATTACATCTAGTGTTACTTTTACTCTTAGTACTGTTTCAACTACAGCTACTACTACAAAAGAATGATAGTTTTATTATACTATTCCTTCTGCCACTAGATTACTATCGAGGCTATTAATACTTCCGCTATTGCTACTACAAGTAGTAATAATACAACTGCTACAAGCACTAATATTACTGCTACAAGCCTAGAACTACTACTGCACCTATTTACATTAACAACGTACTACAACTACTACAGTATTACAAAGCTGTTACTAGTAGAATACTAGTGTTAGTACGACCACTACACCTGGTATTACAAACAGTAGCGTACTAGCATTACTACAACTATGAACCAACAACTGCTGATTTTAATATAGCCACAGCCTCTTATATTATACTCTTATGGTACAGTTGTTAGTACAGTTGTAGCCCCCACTGCTAACACTATTAATAAGAGTTATTACTAGTTCTGTAAATGCCACTGCTATCACAGTAACATTATCAATATTGATACTGCAGCTGCTACATCATCTACTACTACCATTATTAATCTCAAACATTACCAATATTGATACTTTCCTAGTGCAACTTTTACATCACCATTAAATCTACTACTACCATTACTACTACTGCTTCTACCCTTACTTTTACTATTATTATTATTATTATTATAAGCATTATAATAATATGTAATAATACCCAAAAGACAATAAATACTATTGCTATTTTTGTTCCTTCTCTTCCACCTATTATTATTATTATTATAGCAGGAGCTATAGCAGCTGCTGCTGCTGTAGCTCCTGCTGCTACAGCTTCTGCTGCTGCTACAGCTCCTGCTGCTGCTGCTGCTACAGCTCCTGCTGCTGCTGCTGCTGTTGCTATTATTACTGGGCTCTTACCACTGCTACTGTACTTCCATTATTACTACGTTCTTTTTACTAATACTACTAATAATAATCTAACTTCATTTTTTTAACTGTTACCACCATTGCTGCTACTACTACTACTATTCTTATTACTACACTTCTTAAGGTGACTACTAGTTCTAATTTTACTAGCTGTTGCTATTATTGCTACTGCTGCTGCTCCTACTACTATAATGCTGCTGCTGCTATTATTATTATTATTATTATTATTATTATTATTGTTATTAATATTGTCATTACTATTATCACTGCTGCTTCTGCTACAACTAATGCTGCTACAGTTAATTTTACTACTGCTGTTGTTGTTACTACTGTTACTATTGTCAATACTATTACTACTACTACTTTACTACTGTTATAATCTTGACTATTTCTACTAGACAATACTACTGCTGCTGTTACTACTACTGTTACTATTACTACTGTAATTATCTTTGCTGTTACTACTAGACACTTCTACTGCTACATACTGCAACAACTAATTCTGCTGTTGATTCTGCTGCTCTTGTTCTTGCTGCTGCTGCTACAGCATTATTATTACTACTACTACTACTGTTGTTTTTGTTGCTTCTGCTGTTACTACTACTACTACATATGCTTCAGCTACTTCTACTTGTGCTTTAGCTACTACTACTAGTACTACTACTACTATACTACTACTATTACTACTATACTACTACTATTACTACTACTATACTACTAGCATACTACTACTATACTACTACTATACTACTACTACTACTATTACTATTACTACTACTATTACTACTATTACTACTACTATTACTACTATTACTACTATTACTACTATTACTACTACTACTATTATTACTACTACTATTACTACTACTACTATTACTACTACTATTACTACTACTACTACTACTATTACTACTACTACTACTATTATTACTACTACTACTACTATACTAACTACTACTACTACTACTACTACTACTACTACTACTACTACATGGTGTATGTCTGCAGGAGAGCAGCCCAGGCCGTAGTGGGGACTCTGCAGTGGTGATGGGGGAGGTGCCACGTAACTCCGATTCCTCCTCCACCGCCTCCTCCGTCAGCCCACCTGATAAGCGTTGCGACTCTGGCATTCACTCCCAGGCATCCTATTCCTCATCCTCAGCCTCGCACTCTAAATCAGGATCCTCAGGGTCAGAAAGCTGTGTGCCTATCCCAGCGGCGGGACCTCCTCGCTGCTCCAGTGTGGATGATCTGTGCCGAACACAGCCTCCTCCACCACCTCCTGAGTCCTGTGTTAAGAGCCTCTCCTTGCAGAGGGGTGCTGTGCCTCCTACCGTACCTCCTTCAAATCATGGCACTGCCCCAACTACCACCACTACTACTGCTAACACTGTGCAAGGCAAGACAGGACGCTTGAATATTGAAGTGGTAGGTGGAGGCTATGGCTTCCTGCCACCCTCTAAATTTGTGGCTTCTGAGCCTGTTTACAGTGACGCTTCCACACCAGTGGTGATCAAGCGACGGAGCTCAGTCACTGCCGTTGAGCCTGACACGCCTCCTTATGAACGTTCTGGCTCCTCCTTTAGCACTTTCACAGAGCCTCAACTACCAAGAGCAGTTTTGAAAGGAAATCCATATGCCGCCACCAAGTCCCAGACCGTGGCGGCGCATGGACTCCGTGCACGACGGCTGCCTGCAGCCGACGCCAAGCATGCTACCATCGCCGGGGTTGTGCCCCCCAAGGGCTTCCACCAGCCGGGCCACATCGACTCGCGCTACTTCTCTGTGCCCGCCGTCAAGCCGCCAGGTACCCGTGTGCACCCGGCGCCTACTCCCACCCTCTCCTATCGCACCCCCTCCCTCCACTAACTCTCACGCCCGTAAGTCATTCATGCCCACACCCGCATGCCTCCCTCAAATACACATACTAGCACAAACACAGCTGTCCATGTCACATCCACATAGACACCACACTCCATCATGCCACACCCACATAGACACCACACTCCATCATGCCACATTCACATACACACTCCATTATGCCACATCCACTGAGACACTACACTCCATCATGCCACTTCCACATACACACCACACACTATCATGCCACATCCACATACACACACCACACTCCATCATGCCACATCCACATATTCTTTACACTGCATCATCCACTTTTGACCTCAAACACTGTTGACCCAGTATCTCTTAAGGCCACACATTTTCCTTTGCCTTGTTCCAGTCTCATGACCTGCCATATCACAGCATCCTAGCACTGAGTAACCCACTTATTTGCCAGCAATAAATTTCTGGTTTCTAGTGCCTATCATAAATTATCATATGCAGACACACACAATCATAAACAACGCTTTTTTCAAAATTAATTTCTTAGCCAGCATTAAGCTTAAATGTATCAAGTCTGTTCACACACACACACACACACACACAAAATGTATGAATAAATTAAACATATATTAAAAAAATAAAACAACACAAACACAAACACACACACACACACACACACACACACACACACACACACACACACACACACACACACACACACACACATACATAATATATATTTTTCAACAAGTCGGCCGTCTCCCACCGAGGCAGGGTGACCCAAAGAGAAAGAAAATCCCCAAAAAGGAAATACTTTCATCATCATTCAACACTTTCACCTCACTCACACATAATCACTGTTTTTGCAGAGGTGCCCAGAATACAACAGCTTAGAAGTATATATGTATAAAAATACACAATACATGTATATCCAGGAGGCCTGGTCACAGACCGGGCCGCAGGGGCGTTGACCCCCGAAACTCTCTCCAGGTAAACTCCAGGATATCTATATTTAACTATAATATATATATATATATATATATATATATATATATATATATATATATATATATATATATATATATATATATATATAATATATAAATATATATAAAGTAATAAATATAGGGAGGTACCACCTCTGGAACTGTCCTGGGGACCCTCATCCTCAGAGAAAAGTATAAATTTGCTGCACAGAAAACTCGAGGATCTTCCTGAAGCTGTTTGAAAATTATTTTCTCCTACCACCCCCTATATTTTATAGATACTTTATTTAAAGACAAAATACATTGACAAAAATACAATAGGGAGTAAAACAACATAGGTAGCAACTCAGAGCTACATCTCGAATACTTCGTCCAGCTCTCCTTACTCACATACAAAATATGTTCACTTACAACCACCAGAATCTTTCCAGTTACTGGAAAGTATAAAAACTTTACAATAGATTAAACATCAAAGCTGGGATACAACAGCTTAGCTCTTTCCCTGTAGCATTAATCATATAGACATTTTATATCACAACACATCCAACACAGAAAGAAACCCATAATACACAATCCATGTACTTAAAACCATTACAACACTATCCCATAACCTTGCTACCTTCATTCTACTGCATGAGTGTCCTGCTAATTGGGACCTTATTTGTCTCTTGTGTTAATTTTCATCACTTTATTTGCTATTGCCTCTTTTCTTGTTTTTCTAGGGATAGTACTAGGTAGTTCTAGGTTACTCATCATTTTCTTAAGAAATTGCATGAGGGAAAATTGTTCTTGTCTAACACATGTCTCATCATGTCGCCCATGTCTCATCATGTCTTGCATCTCATGTCTCTCACAGGTTTATTATGCATCTCACAAGTCTTATTTTGATTCTCATCATGTCTCACATGCCTTATCATGTCTCTCACAAGTTTTAGCATGGATCACAAAAGTCTTGTCATGACTTGCACAATTCTTGTCATAACTCGCACAAGACTTGTCATGACTCAGTTAAACTTTATAATAGTATGTATAAGACTTGTATATAAGGTTTGCTACTATCCACGGTTTCCACATCCATGGCAAGTCCTCAGAACGTATCCCCTGCAGATATGGGAGTCCTGCTGTATATGGAAGTTACAGTTACTAAGTTTACAAAGAATAAATAGGCACAATACCTTGACTGGAACAATACACAAATAAGCTGCACATAGGAGAAAGAAACTTATGATGATGTTTTGGCCCACCACAGATCATTAACTAGTCATAAGTTTCTTCTCCATGAGGAAGTGGAACAGAATTCTTCCTCCGTAAGCCATGCATGTCATAAGAGGTGACTAAAATGCTGGGACCAAAAGGCTAGTAACCCCTTTTCCTGTATACATTAAGTTAAACATAAAAAGCTTTCATTTTTCTTTTTAGGTCACCTTGCCTCGGTGGGATACAACTCCTGTTTAAAACAAGAAAAAGTTTCTCCTATTTATGGGTTATTTGTGGACTGGGTTTACAGTTTGTTTGGTTACCATTTGGATACAGTTATGAGAGTATACAATCTTTTGCATTCAGAAAAGAGATACATATGAAGCATTTCTGGCAAACTGATTCTGAATCTTAGACTATTTAATTCTAAAACACACACATAAATTAAGGCATTGTTACATTGTTATATTCTGTAAATGTTCTAAAGTAGAGTATCATACAAATTTCATCCAGAACAAACATTACAAAGTGAAAGATTTTGACACTGCTTAATTTTTTATCTAAAGTATAATAAATCATTTAATCAGTGTTCTTTCTTTATATTATTTGAAATTAATCCCCATGGCTGTACTGTAGTGTACTGTGCTACCACCCTCACTGATAAAGAAATGCACTTCCTCGTCACAGCACACACATTCACCTTAATACTCATTTTGATCAGTGGCGGCTCGTCCATAGGAGCTGCAAAGCTACAGTCCCCCCAGGTGTTCACTGCCAGACGTATGACTTCATCAACCTTACGCAAAAATAATTTGCAACTGACAAATATATTACAGGGAAACTCTGTTGTGTGTTGTTTTCAATGTATTTATAAGTGAATTTTTATTTTTTTGTGTTGAAATGAGATAAAAAATTATTAAAAACAGAAGTTTCATACGGTACGATAGTATAGGTATTACTGGGGTTACGAGCCGCCACTGATTCTGATGTCCATAAATTATCATCATATGAAAGTTCATCACCTTTATAATGATAAAAATTAAAAATATGATTAGAATGAATGATAAATTGGAAATATTTTTTGAGACATATAATAATAATAATATTATTATTATTATCATTTATTATTATTAATTATTATTATTATTATTACTGTATTATTATTTCACCATGCAAAGTTTGTTTTTTTTCCTACTATCATTCTAATTTGTATCATTATTATCATTATAATTACAAGGTATTTTTAGTAATTAGATTAGCAGTAATGGCAATAAAATACCAGTAAAAGTACTAGATTTAGATTTAGAATAGTAATACAGGTACAGTATTGTAGTAGTTGTGATGTATTGACCAGTACAAAGTGGATGTGATAAGTAATGTAGGATGATCAAAATTATTTACAACACAGGTTATTGATGAGTGTTACTGTGTCTTATAGAATATAGAAAATATCAGAACTAGCTTAAATCCTGTAAATGTCATGTACGTTTGCATAGGAATGTTTGTGCATTGGTGTTGATGTACACTGAATGTGTATGTGTGTGTTTATTCTTATGTATGCTTGTCACTCAGGGTATTCAAAGTACAGGAAGTCCTCAACTTGTGAACATATTGGGGACCCCCTGAATTGTGTATAATATTCATAATACAGGAAGTCTTCAGCTTACAAGCACGTTGGAGACCTTCTGTATTGTGTATAATAATGATATGATAATGAATACACAATACAGAATATTCTCAGTGTGTTTGTAAGTTGAGGACTTACTGTATTAAGATAAGATAATAAATCTTGATGGCATGAACCACATTGTGTGCAAGAGGTGCTGTTGAGATGTAGATCTTTGAGGAAGTGCAGGCATGGCCCACACTCGTCCCCACACACCTCCATCACATTGACTCATTTTCAAATTTCCTGACAGCTGATGTGCCCGTAAGATTATGATTGGAAGCGAGTGTCCCAGAGGAGCAGGAGACTGGGTGATGAAAGGTAGGGTGTACCTCAGTCCGCCAATAAACAGAACAGCTTCTGGTGCTGTGGCGTATCTTGTAACACCCTTCCTTATCTTTCACCTTTTCTGAGAAGTCTCTGACAGTCACCTAATACTGATGCAGTTATGTCAGAACAATATATAATTTAAAATGTTTATTGTCAGAAAGTCCAATGATCAGTATGTAGTCCTTGTGCCCCTATGTGTTTATTTTTATTATCCTGTCAATTATCTTCCTTATTAATGTACTGTAACTATGTTCTGAATTTAACAAATTATATTATCACATCAATCTCTCTTTATTATATACAGCAATTAAAAAAAAATAATGGAAAAATTACCTATAGACGGACAAGCATTCAATTCACAAATGTCACATTTTCTTTAATGCACTATTTAAGGGCTACTGTTAATAATTAGTTTCAATATTTATTTGAAGGTTCCCATCCAAGTACAGCATAATATAATTCTGCTGATCAGTGAAATATATTAACCTTCATTTTATGGGGGAGTCATGTTGTTTCATATTCTACTTAACTATATTAAAGTGTTGCAATTGTCTTTTCCACATTTATATTCATTTTCTTATTTTATTTTAAATTATCTCTTAATCCACTGGGTGCATGCCTTCTTCATCTCTCAAAGAATTCTTGACAGCCCTTTATGCACCTTACTATAATATAAATGGAACCTGAATATTAAACCTTGCACTGTTAGCCATCTTGTATGTCAGTTTTTTTTATTTATTTATTTCATGTATTAGTTATGAGTAGTGCACTAAATACACTTCAACACACACACACACAGATGTTTTCTAGTTAATGTCTACATTGTAATAATGTTGGTAAAATTCCCGACAATATGTAAAGTAAAAGGACACAAGTGCAACTAATGTGACATTTTATTGTGGCAATGTTTCACTCTCCAGGAGCATAACAGCTTGATAAAGCTCCTGGAGAGCAAAACATTGCCACAATAAAATGTCACATTAGTTGCATTTGTGTCCTTTTACTTTACATAATGTCTGCATTATAAAGTTGAAAAACTAATTCATTTTTATCAGGCTCTTTTATTATTCAGAATTCTCTAGAATTAAAAAAAAAGAAACTGAATCATATCCAAAACTCTAGTTTGACAAATCTGTTTAATTTGAAATTTTCTGAATAGAAAGATATGCTTTCTAAAATTTTGAGTTCCGAATGATCTCCAAAATTTAGAATTTTCTAAACACTAGATGAAGCCTCATATTTTATGTTATAAAATATCTTTAGTTTTGTTTTGGATGAATGATTGCCTTCCCCCAAAATTTTAAATGAATGACTTTTGAAATCCATAATTTTTTGAGATAAGAAATTTTGAATGTCAATTCAAAAAATCTTTAATCCAGAATATTTTTCCATATAAGAGAAGCATGTAATCTTTATTATGCATGTATCCTGTTAACCCCTTGACTGTCGCAACCCCCAATTCTGAGGTGTCTCCTGGTGTCGCAAAATTTAAAAAAAAAAAAAAAAAAATTCTTATGAAATGATAGAGAATCTTTTCCCGATTGTAATGACACCAAAAAAACAAAATTTGATGGAAAACTGACGGAATTATGCTCTCGTGAAGTTAGCGACCTCGGCAATATTTACAAATCGGTGATATCGCCCACTTTGAGCCCTATTTTCGGCTAATTCCATTGTTCCAGTCGACCAAACTCGTAGCTATTTCTTTAGAACTCCATTTTTTCTATTGATTGAGTACAAGAAACTGCCCATTTACTGATTTCAACTACCCAATAATGTGGTCAGAAATTTGCAATTTGGCCAATTTCATGAAAATTAAAAAATATGACAAGTTCAAAATAAGGTCCAGAATGAACAATGCAGACATTCCTGGCTCTAAAATAACATTTTCTTTGTTCATCAGTCATGTCTCCAGGCCCCTCTGATATTACTCTTGCTTTCTATTTTGAATTTTTATTCAAACAAAAAATAGAAGATTTACTGTTATGCAGACTACTGCAATACTATAATAATTGTATAAATAACATCAAACCATTCATGACTGCATATTAGAATGGCTAGTAGGACATTTATTGGACAATGACATCATTTGTTTACTTTTGAACATCAGCAAAAATCAAACATTTCCCCTTTTTTGAGCTCCATTTCTAGGTTCTTTTTATAGTAAAATCATTTAAAATCACCTCTGTGTCTATAATATGTTTTCCATTCTATCAAATGAGACCAAGTAAACGAGAATACAACCATAAATACTATATGAAAATAGACCACAAAGTCGGCATTTTAATTAAAAAAAACGGTCAGTTTTTTTTTTCTCATTATGCACTGCATGCTGCAGGAATTTTTTTATATGGTGCACACTGACCACACAGACCCATTCTCTCACATGTGGGCCTACCAGCTTTCTCCTGCTTGATTTGAAGCCAATAAAATTTATGAGTATATATACGCCAAACACGGTACCTCGTAAGACGTATATATATGACCAAAACAGTCAAAGGGTTAATCAGTAAACTGATTAACATTGCCTTGCTTCTGTATTAACAATCAATTCACCCCTTAACTGTCCAAGTGTAGATCTACGTTCGCTCACCCAGGGCTCCAAATAGGCATTATTCTACATATTATAAGACGGCATTATTCTACATATTATAAGATAAAAAAAAATTTAGGATCAGTACTTACTGAGATATAAGCCCACGAAGTTGGCTCAGGATGCTCACCTGATGGCAGCATGGAGTCCTGCCACTTGCAGAAGTGTTGCCGATATACCTTTTTTCTCATTTTTATATTATTTTATATAATTTTTATGTTCTGATAATTACAATTTATAGTAGTTCTTGTGATTTCATAGCCAATCTTTGCTCTGACACTAATATTAGGTACTAAAATTGTACTCAAATAGTCACAAACACACTGACAGGTGAGCATTTTCATCTGTCTTGGTCATTTACTATTGTCTAGAAATATATACAGTACTACAAAGTAGATCCCAGCGATGTTTTAGATATGATGGAGTATATATGAAACTCCTTGAAGCATAGTGTAAGACTGACTGTCACTAAACTGCTGACAGTGCACCAGTGGTTTGACACTTGATAATCGTGCATTGCTGCAGAGAACTCCTGGCTTTGTTTTCACTGTTACACATAAACATGTCTGTCTGTTTTTTGTCTACCTGTGTGTGTGTCTTTCTGTCTGCCTGTGTGTCTGTCTTTCTGTCTGCTTGTCTCTGTCTCAGAGTGGCTCATGAACCAACAGTTGTTACACACGATGCAGTCACGTCTGATTCCTGATCAACTGAACATGCGTATTACTTGCCAGTCATGCTTATTATGCCTTATATCTACAAGCACAGTGTATAGCACTGGATTTTTTTTTTTGGGTTATCCTAGGTAATTTACACTATGTATGATAACTGTACTTATGTGTACCTGTGAGAGAGACAGAGATAGACAGACAGACAGACAGATAGATAGATACAGATGGAGAGACAGCCAAACCAAGTCAGCCAGCTGGCCTGACGAATCATTTCTCTTTAAATAGGGCATAGGTTTTTTATTTACCTGGCAGGATGACATTACCAGTGGTATCAAAAATGAAAGGATGTTGCAAAAATATTGCACATGGGTTATTATCAAGGTTTTTGATATTTCCTCGATCACTTGTGGCCACATCCATCTCAAAGCCACCAAACTTTGGATCATCATCACTTTCCTCTTAAAAGGGAAGTATTAATACGACATGACATCAGTGAATCCCTGGTGTTTGCCATGCTATTTGCTCTAGCTGGTGCTCAGTTGAACTGGTGCTCCCACAAGGTACTAAGTGGTCCCAAATTTTTTTAATACTGCACACAGGCCAAATTTAGAGGTAGGAAAAATAAAACGTTGATCAATGTTTGGACAGTTAAGGGGTTAAGGCACAGCTTTGTTTCTGTATTTACAAAATGCAATACACTACCTTATATCATTACACAAGCCTGAGCATCTCAGACAAGCACAGCACAGCACATCACTTGAGGGGTGATGCGAGATCCCTGTAGCTAGCATGCAGTCTTTGGAATACACTACATATACAGTTGTAAAAAAAATCAAGATGCAAGTACTTTGTTTTGAAGAAAATACAGGTATTATTTGCATGCCCACATTGATTGTCTTTGGTATTTTATGCCCAGTAATATAATTAGTTCACATTCCAGCCAGTTAAAGACAAGTTCTTATAACTAGTGAGTGATAAGATCTTACAAAGTTGTTTGTCTCAGACAGTACAGGCAATCAGCCTCATATCAAAGAAGACACAGTCGCAAGAATTTACATTTATTATTTTGTATATCAATTACTTTATATTCTGCTGTTGTTTCCAGGGACTGGAGTGATGGCGTAAGAGCAGCTAAGGTTACATCACAACTACAACAAATTATCAACTAGGCTGGATTAGAAAATTGCATCTATGGAAAGTGATTTGTTAATGCCCAAAACTGAACAAAGTCTGTTACAAACAGCTTAAAAGTGACTTGTGTTAACTTTCACAAACTGTAGTCTGCAGTGTACAGTACCACTGATTAACATTAATCACACTGTTGATTCAATGGAGTGTGGCATCAACATTTACGAAGTGGCCCGTGGCAAGCCACACTTGTTAAGAGGTACATATCTTGTAACCCAGCACACACTAGACAAAGGCTGATATTAGTGCAGGTACTGCAGAGACCTCATGTAACCCAGCACACACTGGCTGAGGGCTGACTGCAGGTACTGCAAAGAGTTCGTGTAACCCAGCATACACTGGATGAGGGCTGACTGCAGGTACTGCAGAGAGGTTGTGTAACCCAGCATACACTAGACGGGCTAACACTGGCGCAGGTGCTGTAGAAATTGTGTAACCCATTGGACAAGGGCTGATGTTAGTACAGGTAATGTGGATACCATTGTAACCCAGCACACACTAGATGACAGCTAATGTTAATGCAGGTAATGTGGCGACCTTGTGTAACCCAGTACACACTGGACAAGGACTGATACTAGTGCAGGTAATGGGAGACCTCACTTGTCACTTAAAATGATCATCGACTCCAACAATACACTACAGACCTGCATCTCTCTCACTGATCTTAACCATTTACAAATATAATTTGTTTATGGTGAACTGTGAAAAATATTAGATGCCTTACAGTGTTGGGTTGCTAAACTAGGCTCAATGCAAATCATATGTGATGTACCAGAGAAATACATTTCATATTAATAAGGCACTGCAGGTACAGGTATTTTGCTATAAAAGGCACAGTGAAGATGTATACAGAATCAGCTCTACAATATAAAACCATTATAAATTCTTCACTTTGTATTGCAGTATAATACAGTAGGTGTAGAGCAATACAGGGATGAGAGCCATTAATGCTTGATTAAAGGACTTTTCTGGAAAAAAGGCATTGAAATGTTTTGATACTTGATATTAGTGATAGAATACCCCCACCACACCCAAAAAAAAAAAAAGAATTTAGATGAAATTGATACCCTCAAAAATTCTTCCACTCTTTAATGAAAATAAAATGGCAGATATTTCAAAATTTCATGACAAATTTTGGACATTTGTGGATTTCTTCAAACATTTGCTAATTATGATGATATATTGCCAGCCAAGATGATATCACAGTATATCAGTTATGAATATACTCCTAATTTACATAAAATGTAAATAAAGGACAAATATCATCACTTATTTATGTTATATATATTACATAGTATGTATGTGCACACATGCACTTACGCACGTGCACGCACACACACACACATGCACTTACGCACATGCACACACACATGCACACACACATGCACACACACATGCACACACACATTCACACACACATTCACACACACATGCACGCACACATGCATGCACACATGCACGCACACATGCACGCGCGCGTGCACACACACACACACACACACACAACACACACACACACACCACACACACACACACACACACACACACACACACACACACACACACACCAGCTGGGCTGTGGCTTGTACGTTGGTTTGCGTGCAGCCAGCAGTAACAGCCTGGTTGATCAGGCTCTGATCCACCAGGAGGCCTGGTCACAGACCGGGCCGCGGGGGCATTGACCCCTGGAACTCTCTCCAGTAAACACACCACACACACACACACACACACACACACACACACACACACACACACACACACACATACACATACACACATACACATACACACACATACACACACACACACACACACACACACACACACACACACACACACACACACACACACACACACACACACACACACACACTGTTAGGAAATATTTCTTCAGTCATAGAGTCGTCAGGAAGTGCAATAGCCTAGCAAGTGACGTAGTGGAGGCAGGAACCATACATAGTTTTAAGAAGAGGTATGACAAAGCTCAGGAAGCAGAGAGAGGACCTAGTAGCGATCAGTGAAGAGGTGGGGCCAGGAGCTGAGTCTTGACCCCTGCAACCACAATTAGGTGAGTACACACACACAGAGTAAATACATGTTTAGAGTAGTATTTCAGGTTCAGAAGGAGAGGTTGAGAAGCAGCTAGACTTGTTATCAATATTATTATTATAATCACAGGGAAGCGCTAAACCCATAGGATTATACAGCGCATGTGAGGAGGATGGAAGGTATTCAGGCTCAATTCAAGGAACCGGAGCACAGATCCAATTCCCCTCGCCAGCGTTAAGGAACCTCCCTTGAGGGGACCAGACTTGTTATATCCAAAACAGCAGTGAAAACTTAACTTGATCTGAGGGAGAGTTAGAAGAGACAGTATCAGAAACATAACTTGATCTGAGGGAGAGTTAAAAGATACAGTATTGGAAACTTAACTTGATATGAGGGAGTTCAAGAGACAGTATCAGAAACTAACTTGATCTGAGGGAGAGTTAGAAGCAGCTAACTCAGAAAGAAGTTCACAGATATTAAGAGTTAATCAAAGTTGTGAACACTATAAGAGAACCTGTTACCCACTTTAAATTAAAAATTAATAAATAGGCCGGCACATAACATGCCATGTAAAAATATACACATTATTTCTCCAGGTAACTGAGGGGGTCTATTAAACATTTAAAAAGCACATACTTTATGTTCAGACAATTTCCATAATAAATGTGTAATATTATAATAATTGTATATTTTTGGGGGGGGAAGGATTAAGTTTTTATGAACAGACCTTAATTGAATACAAATGTTTTTTTGCCATAAATAAGTCTGTAAAGATGGCATACATTTACCATAAAAAAAATGCGAGAGAAGAGTGGCCATCAGAAAAAGACATCATTGAGACGGCCTCCATCAAAGTGTTCATTGGTATAAATTCCACATAAGTAACATAGGAGAAAAACTTCCAGTAATGTCGTTAATGTTCATCAATGGAAAATCACCTGCTGCAAGCCTTAATTATTTTATAATAATAAAAAATAATGAATTACTAACAAAAGAATTGATGAGCTATGCAGGTTTCCAAAATAAGGACAGACAAACATTTCATAAAGTACATAGTTACTGGAATGAAACTAATATAAAACTACTGAAAGTTATATATCAAAATATGCAGATGAACTGTAGTCTATAGTTGTGTGTACAAGAGGGAACTCTTGTGTTGGTCACCACACTAAATAATTACTTAGTGACTAAAAGAAATTGAAGTGTTATGACATTACCTATACTGTAGTAGATTATACAGTATGTATAATGAAAATATAATGTGCTATATCGCAACACTTGAGTGTTTCTCATGTATTATTAAAATATGACCCAGACAAACTGGTGTGACTGCCAGATATTGGAGCCAGGTCCAGATGCAATTTTTATTCACACAAAACATTATCCCAGTTTTAATGGGAAATATTTTTTGTTTACCTGCAGACCATGTTGTGAATGATAAATGCGTTTAGCTTATGTAGACCAGGGTCTTGATTTACAGTCTTCTGGGCTTCATGTTTTATGAAAGCTGATTCCAGAATGTTACAGTTCAACATATGACTGGCAAAGAATGATTGATTTTGGAATGTTTTTATTCAAGAGGATATTATGTGTTTGATAAATGCAGGAAAAAAAGGAGAGGCACTTAATTCCTGTTTGAGCATATTGCATATATATGCTGTTGAAGTCTAGTTAGCTTCAGGAAATCTTGTTTGACCAATGTACCTTTTGTCACATTCCTTATATGGGACCAAATATATATATATTATATATATATATATATATAATATATATATATATATTATATATATATATTATATATATATATATATATATATATATTATATATTATATATAATATATATATATATTAATATATATATATATATATATATATATATATATATTATATATATATATATATATATAATATATATATATATTATACACACCGTCGTATGCTTAGGTGAGGTTTTAATTAGATTATGCTTTATAATGCTACTGCCTTTAAAGGCCTCTAATATTCAAAATTTTCAAGGAGTGTGGAGGTCAAGAATAAATCTCATTAAATGGCAGTGTGAAGAATGTCCTCATATTTACATTCAACTTGTATTTTTTACCTTTTGAGGCCATTGTTAATGTGTAAACTTAGGTAATGCAGGCTGCTGGTTCATCTTCCTTCAAAGAACTGATAAAGCTTTCAAAATCTTTAAAAAAAAAAGATACCAAAATATTTTTTTTATGAGAGTAGTGTATCTTGCAAATACAAATACAGGTATATGTTCACATAAGGAATAGTTATACATTGAGCTAAAAGCTGTTTAATTACAGTTTCAAACTCTAGTGAACAGTTATTTCAAACTGATCAGTTCCAACATGAATCCAATTATGCTATGCTATCTTTACAGATGTGCTCATGCCAAAATATTGTTTCCTATTGTTCAAGTTTTATATAAGTAACATAACATTTTGAAACTGGATTTAGGCCTGACATTTATGAGAAGTTAACCCTCCCTGAGAGCAAGACATGTTTATTGCTACTTTCTTGAACACATTCCACAGTGTCTTGGTGGTTCTGCTGACTCATAACCTCAAGTTGTATCCTTTATTAATTTAAAAAACTTTGGCACAGTTTTCCTCATTTCCTTCAGTGCTTCAGTAATATGGTACTGTACTAAATAAAGTAGGACACACCTTAGAAAGTTAGGTAGATATAATTAAGCTTCAGTGGATTATACACAAAGTCTAGGAAGGGTTAGTTTAAGTTTTTTAAGCCTGACTTACTGCACAATTAAAACTTTACATACTGTGTTAAGTCTTGTGAATAATTCTGTCAATACAAAAGAAAGTAAGTTTGTTTTGAAGAAAATTTGACCTAAATTTACATATAATATCTTATACAGACTATTTAAGGTCTGCCTAAACTTGATTCCTTTTTAATATTAGTGGCTTTTATGTTGCTGATTATATGTTAAGTCCGCAAGTTTTGGCTAAAAACTATAAAGCAAACAATATATATACATATCTACAGACGTAAATATTTATTTAACACACTGGCCATCTCCTACTTAGGCAGGGCAACCCTCAGTCGCACTATCACTGCCTTGCTAAAGGTGCACAGATACAATGATTCAAATGTCTCTCTAACAACTAATTTCTCCACTCCTCATCTATATATATATATATATATATATATATATATATATATATATAATATATATATATATATATATATATATATATATATATGTTATTTATTTTCTTTTTTTATTAACACATTGGCCGATTACCACGAAGGCAGGGTGGCCCGAAAAAGAAAAACTTTCATCATCATTCACCCATCGCGGTCTTGCCAGAAGGGTGCTTTACACTATAGTTATAAAACTGCAACATTAACACCCCTCCTTCAGAGTGTAGACACTGTATTTCCCATCTCCAGAACTCGAGTCCGGCCTGCTGGTTTCCCTGAATCCCTTCATAAATGTTACTTTGCTCACACTTCAGCAGCACGTCAAGTATTAAAAACCATTTGTCTCCATTCACTCCTATCAAATATGCTCACACACGGTTGCTGGAAGTCCAAGCCCCTCACACACAAAACCTCCTTTACCCCTTCCCTCCTAACCTTCCTAGGCTGACCCCTACCCCACCTTCCCTCCACTACAGATTCATACACTCTCAAAGTCATTCTGTTTTGTTCCATTCTCTCTACATGTCTAAACCACCTCAACAACCCCTCCTCAGCCCTCTGGATAATAGTTTTGGTAATCACACACCTTCTCCTAATTTCCAAACTAAGAATTCTCTGCATTATATCCACAGCAACCAGGTGACTGTGAAACAGAAACCTGTAACTGTTTTACATGATGGTAGGATTGCTGGTGTCTTTTCTCTGTTTCATAAACATGCTGGATAACAGGTATATCTTGCTACTTCTACCTACACTTAGGTCACACTACATATACATGTACAAGCATATATATACACACCCCTCTGGGTTTTCTTCTATTTTCTTTCTAATTCTTGTTCTTATTTATTTCCTCTTATCTCCATGGGGAAGTGGAACAGAATTCATCCTCTG